GTTGAAATGCATGGTGTATGGTCTGAAATTAGTGAGAGCAATCGATGTGCTGTTATTCATGTAATTGGGGTAGTAGGATTGATGAATCTTTGAGCGTAGCCTGCCTGCCTGCATGCCTCCGCTCCATAGCTTCAGCTTCAGTAGTGCTGATGCATAATGGTGCAAGTGAATTCAGTTTTCTAAAACTATAGATGTAGTGCTTGGTACTATCTTTTATACTATATTTTGGGATGGAGGGAGTATCTCAATAGCATCTTTTTTGCTTGTCCCCTGGACTGGAGTGTCCAGCTCACTTGTCCTAGTAGTTCACTGCAACTCTAGCTCACTCCAAGTTTCGGGATCTCTTAGGTCCGCTGCGACCACAACAGCTAGCAGTTCCGTTGAAAATGGGCCTGCTGAAATGCATGGAGTATAGTTTGATTTTTTGTGTGTCAAACCACTGAGGCTGACAAACATCATGGGCGTGAGCCCAAATCAAGTAGTGGGTCCATTTTTTTGTTGGCTAGGGTTCTTGATTCAGGCGCGAATCATGTTTTTTGAGGGATTTGCTAGTGCGTATTATTCGGAATTTTTGGTGCCTTTTTTCCTTTGTGTGAATCCTGATTTTCAGGGGGTCTAATTAGTGTTTTTAGATGGGGACTTCAGTGCTAAGTTATATGGAGGAAATACGTTATTTTACAGGTGTTGGGGCAGGTTAAGTGGCAACTCCAGTTTTCAGTGCCTCTGTATTTTGTCTTTGACATTTGTTAGAACTTGAGAGGTAGTAAGAGGGGAAGAACTTAGATGATGGGCTTTGAATGGATTTTAGTTGGGAGATCTCATCGTCTAATAATGTCTGGAATAGAACATTAGAGGTGTTCATTTGACCTGCTGATCTGAATGTGAGTAAATGTAATTTATAGAACCACATGCTGCATTTATTTATTTTGTAAATTGAAGAGTGATTTACCGAAGAAATATGGCAGTGTTCCTGGTTATAGGTGTTCGGTTTTATAGAAGCAGTTACTCCTTTTATTTTCAGTTTTTTGTGGTGGCTGAGCCAACTTCTTTTTCGTTACATGTTAACATTTCTAAAGCATTGCATAGCTTTTTTCTGTGTTAAATCAATTTGTGATATATGTTGACATAGTTTAGTGCCTATTTTATGAGCAGGCTCTCATGGATGCCCACAAGCAGATTGCACGCAAGATAGAAACTAAAACCGAGGCCTCCTTGAAAGAAGGAGCAGGTAAACAGCCTAAAACTCTATGCACTCAGTCTCTTTTCTGTGTTTGATTTTTAACCACTTTTTTTCTACAGTTGTTATGAGTCTTATCATCAATTCTTATTTTCACACGGGATCCTAGAGAAGGCTAAAGCTGAAACAAGAGATTGGCTTAACAGTGTGGTATGTTAAATGCATCACCTGGTATGATTAGTCTTTTATGCTGTCATTTATCTACACGCCTGTTGTTGGCTTACCGGAAACACGAGCAAACAAAGAAATTACCTGCAACATATATGTCTTGTATTGTTGTTTCTCTTTTGCCTAGAGTATGTTTGAATGACACAAGTTACCCGCAACACTAATGTATCATATACTCCCTCCGTTCCAAAATAGATGACCCAACTTTATACTAACTTTAGTAGAAAGTTGGGTCATCAATTTTGGAACGGAGGGAGTACATTTTTATGAATACAGCCACACACAGGTACAAATATTGAAGACGAAGACAGAGAGCAGGGTCTTGAAGATACAAATTTAGAAGAGAGAGATCACTGACACTGAAGTATCAGAGGGTTTGCTGTATGAAGAAGTTGTGACGTTGTATGAAGCATTAGAGAAGGAACCAAGACCTGGCAGAGTTGTTTAGCTACACAAATGGGCCTTACATTTTTCTGCTGTCTTTTTGTTGCGTCCATGGACAGGGAGGAAGGTAAAACGGGCTAAACAAACAGACAACACACAAGAAAAAACAAAACAAAAAGCCCACACCCCAAGCCCACCACATGGGAAGTTAAAACCCAACAGTGAGGGAGGTGAAACAGGCCTCAGCTGACTGAGACTTCGCGAAGTCTCAGTCGACTGAGATCTAGACAGACTCTAAACTTTAACCATTAAATCACGTAGCCGTCACCTCCTTTCCCACACTTGAGGTTTTTCTCGCGTCCCGCCGATGCCGGTTCGCCTCGTCTCCGGTGGGCCTTACGTCCATAGAGGCGTGGTGGATACCGATCCTTGCCGGTGTGAGGGTTCAGTTTTTAGATGTTACTTTGAGTTTTGTTAGGGTTTGTGTCCTATTCAAGAAGACGAGACTGCGGATGCTTCCTGAAGATGGAATAAGGTTCTCTCTGGTTAGCCTCGTTCCCGTGGTGCATCTAGCACCGTCGGTGTGCGTGTGCAGATGTGTCTCCGGCGGATCTATCTTTGGTGGAGCTGCTCGGATCTGTTCGTCGTTCGTCTACGTTCATGTTTCTTCAGGTTGAATCCTTTTGATTTACGCTACTCTTTATCTGCGATAGTTGCTGTTCTGGTGCGCTGATTCTATGGGGCCTTATCACGATGACTTCCCGACTGTCTATTACACAAGTTTTAGCCGGCTCCGACAAGGGAAGGGCGATGACGACGACGCGTCTTTGGCTCGCTTCAGTTCTTCTAGTCGTCGCAGGGTGGTCTATAAATCTGGATGTAATTTTTGTTATTTCTTGTGTTCATTGTACTGTCAATGTCAAGATGAGAAAAACTAACTAACAAAAATAAGTTATATACCAGTAGAATATTATCATTGGAAGTCTCTTTTGACTATGAATCCAACACTATAACTTTTGTGACATACAAAGTATATTTTCATATTTTGTTAGGGCACGAAATACAAATGGACCAGTCAACCGGACGGAGGTAATACGTTGCAAACGGTCTGGCCCAGTCGGACCCTTGTGCGTGCGTGGCCTCGCTATTGGACGCAACGAGCGTCCAATAGAATCTCCCCAACCCAATCCTTGCACCTGCTACTACTACGTGTCTTCTCCTTGAACCACGTTCTTTATCTTACCTCGAGCGAGGCAACCGGCAGCAGCCTCCGATGCCAAGGGCCAGTGGGCGCGCGATGCACCAGCTTCCCCTGGCCGCGCGGCCGCCGGCGCCGCGGTCTCACTGTTCTCGGAGTAGGTCGGCGTGCCGCTGCAGCCTGAAGCAGGCGCCTGCCTCTCTCGCCGTGGCCGCAAGACGGTGCGCGGCCGCGCCGCTCTTGGCCGCGTCGCTCCTCCTCGCCGCCGCCGCGACTCCTGGCATTCCTGCCGGTACTCCACCAGGTTTGCCTAGCCTGCCGCTTGTCAGTAGAGATGCTTGTTCTAGACTTCGATCCATTGCATGCACTGTCCACACCAGGTGTGGCAAAATATACGGTGAATTTTGCTTGTCGATCGACCACATGGCATTTATTTTTGCGCAGCGTTTGCCCAATCCCAAGGCGCGGCGCTGTTCCGGAAGGCGTGCATCGGGTGCCACGACACGGGTGGGAACATCCTACAGCCGGTGAGTTTGCTGAAATCCCTTGCACGGTCGTAACGACTGTAAATTCCAGGTTCAGATCATCGTCTGTTTGCTCCTTGATCATGTCCAGGGAGCCACCCTCTCCATGAAGGATCTTGAGAGGTATGGCAGAGCCATTTGTTAAACTACAGCTTGCATGAAATTTCTTGTTCGGTCTATATTGACTGGCAAAGAGAAATTTTGAATTTGCTTCAGGAATGGAGTTGCCACGGAGGAAGAGATATACAACATTACTTATTACGGGAAGGGAAGGATGCCGGTACGTAAAATTTGCACCCATTATGTACGTCGTTGACAGGAGTAAACGTTTTGCAACTATGAATGAGCTTCATCGTGTGTGTAGGGTTATGGAGAGCAATGCACGCCGAGAGGGCGGTGTACCTTCGGCCCCCGGCTGCCTGAAGACGATATCAAGATGCTTGCAGCATTTGTCAAATCGCAAGCAGAGAACGGGTGGCCAAAGATCGACGGTGATGTCGAGTGATCCGATTACGGCTGAACACGAGGAGCTAGCTCCATTTCGCGAGGAGGCTGAAACCATAACTGTTTATGAGGTTAATATTTTTTTTGACTCGCAAGCAAACCGTAGAACAATTGTTCTAAATAATTTTACATTAATAAAATGAAAATAGTTATTCACGCAGACGAAGATTAAAGTATCTACAGCCGAATTTGGCAAATCCGACCCCTCAAACACATGCGGACGGGTGCGTCCGCGGACAGTGACCGGCCACCTCTCAAAAAACGCATTCCACATTCGGATACCTCAAATTAAAAACCTCAAATCCATATTATTACATGCAACGTGAAATCTAATCTACGTGGAGCTCATCCGGTTTCACTCCCCGCTCGCCGGCTCCGCCCTAGCCATGTCCGGCGGCCGGCTGCGCTCCTCAGAGTGTTGGGCCGGTCACCGGCAAGGTAGGGTAGGGCATGAGACACGAGCTGGCTCACGGGACTCAAGGCCCCGTCGTCTTCCATGCCCTACTCTTTCTCGCGGAGACCGGTACCCAAACGGTGTTGTTGGACGTCAGAGCGATGATGAATTCATCTGGGGACGAGCCGCCGACGTCCACCACAATGCGGTTGCGGCGCCCGGACTGATGCGCCATACGGTGCGCCGGAGAATGCGACTCCGCCTCGCCGACATCCGTCGCCGCGAGGGCTGCCGCCACCTCCCACACCCGGTGCCTTGCATGGCGGGCACGCCGTGCCATGGCCTCGTCGGACGAGGCCCATGGTGCGTCTCGATACTCGGCGCGTCACCGGAGGGGTTGCGCGTCCGCCAACGCATTCGGACGCTGATACGTCTCCAATATATCTACAATTTTTGATTGTTCCATGTTATTATATTATTTGTTTTGGATGTTTTATATGCATTAATATGCTATTTTATACTCCCTCCGTTCAAAAATACTTGTCATCAAAATGGATAAAAAGGGATGTATCTAAAACTAAAATACGTCTAGATACATCCTCTTTTATTCATTTTGATGATAAGTATTTCCGGACGGAGGGAGTATGACTTTGGGGACTAACCTATTAACCTAGAGCCCAGTGCCACTTCCTGTTTTTTTCCTTATTTTAGAGTTTCGCAGAAAAGGAATACCAAACGAAGTCCAAATGGAATGAAACTTTCACGATGATTTTTCTTGGACCATAAGACACCCAGAGGACTTGGAGTGCACGTCGGGAAAGTCATGAGGCTACCATAAGGACGAAGGGCACGCCCCCCACCCTTGTGGGCCCCTCGTGACTCCACCGACCTATTTCTTCCGCCTATATATTCTCAAATATTCCAAAACCTATAAGGGGAGCCACGAAAACACCTTTCCGCCATCGCAACCTTCTATACCCATGAGATCCCATCTAGGGGCCTTTCCCGGTGTCCTGTCGGAGGGGGATTCGATCACAGAGGGCTTCTACATCAACATCATTGCCTCTCCGATGAAGCGTGAGTAGTTTACGTCAGACCTAAGGGTCCATAACTAGTAGCTAGATGGCTTCTTCTCTCTCTTTGATTCTCAATACCATGTTCTCCTCGATGTTTTTGGAGATCTATTCGATGTAATACTCTTTTGCGGTGTGTTTGCCGAGATCCAATGAATTGTGTATTTATGATCAGCTTATCTATGAATATTATTTGAATCTCCTCTGAATTCTTATATGCATGATTTGATATCTTTGCAAGTCTCTTCGAACTATCGATTTGGTTTGGCCAACTAGATTGTTTTTTCTTGCAATGGGAGAAGTGCTTAGCTTTGGGTTCAATCTTATGGTGCTCAATCCCAGTGACAGAAGGGGAACCGTCACATATTGTATTGTTGCCATCGATTATAACAAGATGGGGTTTTCATCATATTGATTGAGTTTATCCCGCTACAACATGTCATCTTACTTAATGCATTACTCTATTCTTATGAACATAATACTCTAGATGCAGGCAGGAGTCGGTAGATGTGTGGAGTAATAGTAGTAGATGCATGCAGGAGTCGGTCTACTTGATACGGACGTGATGCCTATGTTCATGATCATTGCCTTAGACGTCGTCATAACTTTGTGTTTTTCTATCAATTGATCGGCAGTAATTTGTTTACCCACCATAATAATTTCTATCTTGAGAGAAGCCTCTAGTGAAACCTATGGCCCCCGGGTCTACTTTCCATCATATAAGTTTCTGGTCTATAATTTTAGTTTCCTATTTACTTCTTTTGTAATCTTTTACTCTTCGTTCCATAAACCAAAATTACCAAAAATATTACTTTACCGTTTATCCATCTCTATCAGATCTCACTTTGCAAATAATTGTGAAGGGATTGACAATCCCTTTATCGCGTTGGGTGCAAGTTGGTGTTTGTTTGTGCAGGTATTCAGTGACTTGTGCGTTGTCTCCTACTAGATTGATACCTTAGTTCTCAAAACTGAGGGAAATACTTACTCTACTTTGCTGCATCACCCTTTTCTCTTCAAGGGAAAAATCAACGCAAGCTCAAGAAGTAGCAGGAAGAATTTCTGGCGCCGTTGCCGGGGAGATCTACGCCAAGTCAAGCCATACTAAGTACCCATCATAAACTCTCATCTCTTGCATTACATTATTCGCCATTCGCCTCTCATTTTTCTCTCCCCCACTTCTAAAATGATTTTCGAAAAGATTTGCCTTTTCTGCGCCCCTATTCCGTTCGTCTTCTTCGCTTGCCTTTTGTGTGCTCGTGTGTTGGATTGCTTGCTTTGTCACGATGACTCAAGAGAATACCAAACTGTGTGACTTTTCCAACACCAATAACAATGATTTTATTAGTACTCCGATTGCTCCCGCTACTAATGCGGAATCTTGTGAAATTAATGTTGCTTTGTTGAATCTTGTTATGAAAGATCAATTTTTCGGCCTTCCTAGTGAAGATGCTGCATCACATCTAAACAATTTCGTTGATTGTGTGATATGCAAAAGAAAAAAGATGTGGATAATGATATTGTTAAATTGAAGCTATTTCCGTTCTCACTTTGAGATCGTGCTAAAACTTGCTTTTCATCTTTGCCTAAAAATAGTATCGATTCATGGAATAAGTGTAAAGATGCTTTTATTTCCAAATATTTTCCTCCCGCTAAGATCATCTCCCTTAGGAACGATATTATGAATTTTAAGCAACTTGATCATGAACATGTTGCACAATCTTGAGAGAGGATGGAATTGATGATACGAAATTGCCCTACTCATGGTTTGAATTTGTGGAATATTATACAAAATTTTTATGCTGGATTGAATTTTGCTTCTAGAAATTTTTTAGATTCGGCCGCGGAAGGCATTTTTATGGAAATTACTTTAGAGAAGTTACTAAACTCCTAGATAATATTATGGTTACTTATTCTCAATGGCAGATCGAAAGATCTTTCACTAGTAAAAAAGTGCATGCAATTGAAGAGATTAATGTTTTGAGTGGAAAGATGGATGAGCTTATGAAATTGTTTGCTAGAAAGAGTGCTCCTATTGATCCTAATGATATGCCTTTGTCTACTTTGATTGAGAATAATAATGAATCTATGGATGTGAATTTTGTTGGTAGGAACAATCTTGGTAATAACGCGTATAGAGGTAATTTTAATCCTAGGTCTTTCCCTAGTAATTCCTCTAATAATTATGGTGATTCGTACAACAATTATTATGGAAATTATAATAAGATGCCCTCTGATTTTGAGAATAGTGTTAAAAAATTTATGAGTTCGCAAAAGAATTTCAATGCTTTGATTGAAGAAAAATCGCTTAAGATTGACGATTTGGCTAGGAACGTGGATAGAATTTCTCTTGATGTTGATTCTTTGAAACTTAGATCTATTCCACCTAAACATGATATCAATGAATGTCTCAAAGCTATAATAATTTCCATTAATGAGTGAAAAGAAAAAACCGCTAAGATGCGTGCTAAAAAAATTGGTTTATAAAAGCGTATTCTTCTAGTTTTCGTGAAAATAATGATGAAGATCTTAAAGTGATTGATGTGACTCCTATTGAATCTTTGTTTTCCAATATAAATCTTGACAAAGATGGGACTGGAGGCGAGTCAATTTTAGTTAGATGGCGTCCCAATGATTCGGAGTTTTTAGATCTTGATGCAAAAATTGATAAAAGTGGGATTGGAGAGATCAAAACTTTAGGTAGCAATGAAACCCACTCTTTTGGATTTCAAGTAATTTAATTATGATAATTGTTCTTTAATATATTGTATTTCCTTGTTGCAATCCATGTTGAATTATCCTCATGCTTATAATCAAAACAAAGCTTTTACTAAACATATCATTGATGTTATGATGCAATCTTTTGAAGATAAGCTTGAATTGGAAGTTACCATCCCTAGAAAACTTTATAATGAGTGGGAACCAACTATTGAGATTAAGATCAAAGATTATGAGTGCCATGCTTTGTGTGATTTTGGTGCTAGTGTTTCCACAATTCCAAAAACTTTATGTGATGTGTTAGGTTTTCGTGAATTTGTTGATTGTTCCTTAAATTTGCATCTTGTGGATTCCACTATTAACAAACCTATGAGAAGGATTAATGATATTCTTATTGTTGCAAATAGGAATTATGTGCCCGTAAATTTCATTGTTCTTGATATATATTGCAATCCTACATGTCCTATTATTCTTGGTAGACCTTTCCTTAGAACGATTGGTGCAATTATTGATATGAAAGAAGGAAACATTAGATTTCAATTTCCGTTAAAGAAAGGCATGGAATACTTCCCAAGAAAGAAAATTAAATTGCTTTATAAATCTATTATGATATCCACTTATGGATTGCATGCCAAAGATGATAATACTTAGATCTATTCGTGTTTTATGCCTAGCTAAGGGCGTTAAACAATAGCGTTTGTTGGGAGGCAACCTAATTTTATTTTTTGTTTTTACTTTTTAGGTTCTGTTTTGCAATAAATATTTCATCTAGCCTCTGGTTAGATATGTTTTTGTGTTTTAATTAGTGTTTGTGCC